TGGTAGAGTCAGGATCCCAAGCCAGGTTGTTTTACCCCTCAGCTCTCCTCCTACTCACCAAGGCTGGGCCATCACTAGACTAACTTACTGGTCATGAAATTGGTGTGACCCCTGCACACTCTGCCTTTCATGATGCAGGTCATTTTTTTACAGTTGCATTAGGATTCAATTCTGAGATGTTGCTCCCAACTTGGTACACAGCCAAGGATGACTTATGCAATTTTCTGTCAAATTAAATGGTACTGGGCAAAGTCCACTAGAACTCACCAAGAACTGCCAGTTGGGGCATACAAGTTTGGGCATCTGCTTAGGACTGTTGCTAGTTGCTCTGAATTCCTTGAGGGAAGGGGGAATCTGGATGCGGTTTCAGCTAGAAACAGATTTGTTTGCTAATGATTGTGACCATGATAGTGTGATGAGTGAGAACTTTTTTCACCTGTCCAACTCTTGCCAATTTAAGCCCCCTTCATTACTACCTTGGAGGGAAAACTAGAGATCTGTGCCAAAAAAAAAAAAAAAAAAATCTGAAAAGGTGAATCTCTGATCTTCTCACAAACAATGTCTTGCACAATTTTCCCCAGACAGCCTTAACAGCCTTACCAGTCTCACAGACTAATATGGAAGGCCAAATGTCACATATTTTGCATTCAAAGGGACTATAAAAACATAAGGTGTTTATTAGCTGAATTAAAACTAAGCCTCTTTAGTTGGTGCTGAACCACAGACATACATTTTGAGACTTTCTGGTCCCAAGAGACAAAGATGACACAGACAATTGCACAAAGTTTCTGCATTAAAAAAATAAAATTCTTTCTGGTGTAAGACAGAAACTATGACTACAGCATGATAGAAACAAGAAAGGTTTGTACATGTGTTTAGCTCCTAAGAGTCTTATCTACATTGGAAAAGATTCACACCATAGTGTTCAAAGGATGAAGAAGAAAGTAAGTGATGCAGCATGTCATGACAGAAAGAAGCAACATGCCTGTGGGCTTCCAGGAGTGTCATGTAGGGACTGTAACAACTTAACTCTGCTAGGCGGCGAGCACATATGGGGTCAGTGATGTCACAGCACTGTGTCCCCAACAAAAAACATTATTTTAGTTATATGTTATTAAAATTTTAACCTCACTTCTCTTTGCTTCCATCCCTTAATTCCATAGGCATTATATTTTGGCCTGCTCTCTGAGGCACTTTAGGCTAGGAAACAGTATTTTATCACTTCATAAAAATGGCTGCATGAATGACACCAGCAGAGAGCAACACAGCCCTCTTGGGACAGAACCGCTGGGTAGTAAGCTGGGTTGAATTGTTGGTCTTGTAGAGCAAGTTACTCAAATTCTAGTCTCAGCAAAATGTCATGTTTTGCATGTCATAGATATTCAGGTTTGCTTTAGAAGAGTGGAAACCAAGAACACTAAATCATTAACTTTCAAGTGTCTACTGTGCATACATTGTCTGAGTTATGTTATGAACTATAGACAAGACTGGAAAGAAGTAAAGTAAAAGCATTAACAGTGGTTGGTTGTGGGCAAAAGAACTTACTAGTGAGTTTTTATTGTTTTCATTGTAGCCTTTTAACTCATCAACATTGGTGAGTTAGCCTTTAGAATCAGAAAAAAGTTATACAAAAAATTATTTTGAAAAGTAAAGGCTAGATGTCAACACTCTTCAACACTCTCTCTAGGCCCTAAAATCACTAGAAGAGCCAGTCCACAAACATGGAAGCCAGTGGGTGTTGCTGGAAATGAGTGATGTCACTCAACATTCATTTAGTTCCAACATATAAAATTTCCTTTTTATATAACAAACTAGTGTGAACAATGAGGCTCTTTTGCTAAACAAAAAACTGGATTTCAAGGATGATTGCTAATGGATGTCACATCAATTTACTTCAGATTTGTTTTGACTTTAGATGTATAGTAATGCGAAAATTTTTATTATCACAGTGATATAGTTGATAATGGTAATTGTTTCTGTAGACCAACTTGCAGTTTTAGGATATTCATTTTTTCCAATTAAAAAGATATAATGGGAGAACTTAATTATGAGAGCAAAAAGCTTTCATTTTGGTAGTAAAAATGTTTAGAATTTGCTACACAATTTTCCTAATTTAATTTGAATGAATTAAAATCAAACATGTACAAATATACATTTGAGTTTTATGTAAAAATACTATAATATACATAGGTGTGTGCATATATATATATACACACTATGTATATATATACTATGTATATATACATACGTGTGTACATATATACACACAGTATGTGTATATATATATACAGTATGTATATATATATATATATGCACACACACAATGTTATATGTATATTAAATGGCATTAAGTGAACAACAGATTTTGTTATCACGGTTTGAAAAACACTTGCCTTGAAAATTCAAGGCAAAAAAGAACCTGCTTACCCCCATTTTGTGGGTGAGAAAAGTGAAGCCCAGAATGCTAAAAGTAATAAACCTAGGGTTACAGATTTAATTATTTAATGCCTCTTTTGCTGTCCATGGTCCTTCCCAGTCTTGACAGTTAGTATACTTAGCTATGAGAATGGAATTTTGCTTTCAAATAATAGAGAGTAGGCCAAGAATTCTAGTCTAATACACAAAAAAGTGAACAGATCCCTCAGTGGCTAGAGTAATACATTTTTTTTGAAATTAAAAAATAATTAGCTTGTACTAAAACCATAAGTGTTTATGCTTTTCAGGATTTCTAATTTTGTACACAAAGGCACTGATTTAATGTCATTTGTCACTCTTGATTTTTGCTATTAAACCTACAGTTATAAAACAGTTCCCTGAAGACTTAAGTATGCTGTATCTGAAGAGATGGAATCTCTTTATCTTCTTGTCTCCGACCACTGCCTCTTATTTTTTCCATGAAGTTCAGAAATGTTGCTTTGATCCCAGGCATGCAAAGAAGTTCAATGAATTTCACAGCAATGCTAGTGTACCATGACCTCAGAGTAGTATATCTACATTTCCTAAAGTAGTTTCCTTTTAAATCTCTCCTACTGCTTAAGTCTTAATTTTTACAGCTTTCTCTAATTATCTCTGCAATAAAAATTAAAAAAAAAGCTTCCTGACATTTGCCTCTAGCTTATTTTAAATTTCTCCTTCTCTCACTTTTCTTTCTTTTAAATAGCCACCTGTCCTAACATTTATATATGTACGCTATTAGATGCTTTAAAATAACAGAGGACACAGAAAAAACATACATTTCAGGGGGAAGTCCTTTGAATGCAGAATGGCCTTTTACTTTGGATATTAAGAAATAGGCCAAAATGTCACTCTTACAGGAAGGTCAAAACCAAACACCAGCAAAAATGAGTCAGTCATTTTTTTTCTGACTTTAACAATTTTCTTAAAATGTAACAATTTAAGAAAATTTAACAATTTTCTGAAAATTGTTAACAAAATGCTTTTCACAATTGTCTTCCATGATCATTTCTTCATTGAAGTGTTTCCCCCCCCCCCCCCCCGAGTGGGGGTAAAACCTTATGCAATAAAAGGAAGTAAATTCCTCACTTCTGGAAATACACAAGTTTTCATGGAAATGTGTGTAAGACTTACATTATCCCTAAAGCTGGAAAGACCTGCTCTTTGACTCATTGGTCTTTGTGGAAGAGATAGGGGTAAACTGTATAATAAGCAATACAATTTAAAAATGAGATTGAATTGCATGCATTATAATTATCGTAGCTAAACAGACTTCATATTCTAATATATCCAAAATAAAGATTTTAGCTCCTCATTCGACTTTAATGTTATATTCAGTTTTTTTAGACATAATTTTCTGGAGTAATATGAAGCTAAGCTAAACTTTACCTAAGTTTTATAATCACAAAATAACTATTCTTTTGTTTCCTTTAATGAAAACCTGTTATTCTGAATTTGTTTTTATGAACTAGGTAATAAGGTTCCTATGAGTTAATTAATTATTGCAACTTCACATCACATAAGAATTTAGAATTCATGAATGTAAGGCAAAAAAATGACCTTTAAAAAAGCTGACAACAAAAAAAGTACCTAAAATTTGCATTGCCTGTAATTCAAAGGTAGAACACTTTTCATCCACATTGCTCAGATAGTTTTATTCAACATTTTGTTTTATGTACATATGAGTATCATATGCATAATTAAGTTAAAATTTTAAAAGTGTTTCTCAGAACTCCAAGAATCTTGGGAAAGGAATCTTTATCTTTTAGTGTTCCGAATTAGGTTTGTGGGGGAAGTGTTTTCTCATAACATTTTATGTGTGTAGAATGAGCAAGCTAAAATTAATAATTACAAAGTAGTGTTGCAATAAAAAAGCCAATGCTTACACTTATGAAAAGATTCTTGACCTGCACTTTTCTAACTCCTTGTCACCTGAGATACTTCAATTATCAGCCTGATTCTTGATCCTGCAAATAATGTGAGGATTAACTGGTTTTCAAAAAGCAAACAAAGATACGTGAAATCATCAAGTGTCTCATTAAAATGGCTTAAAAATCTAAGAGAAATAAGTCTGTCTCTTCAGCAAAGGCTGAATTTATTTAACTGCAGAAGTTGTTCAAGCACGGTTTTGGTTCTGGTTACTCAGTGTGGACTACTCAAGTCTCAAACATGCCAACTGTGACCCTCAAGTATGATGTGCTCTGATTATGTCACTGACTGGGTGGCAGAGTTAAGTTGGAAAGGATCCTGAGAATACTGTGCCATTCATTTGTTAAGGTCCATCGACCTAGGCTTGTTCAGGAGATAAATAAGTAATCAGAATGAAAGGAAACCAGGAGAGAAAATGACAAATGGAAAGTCTGTAGACCCCCTCTCCCCCCAAATAGCATTGATGGAGCAGCAAGAATGAGAGGCATGGTTACTGGTAACAGATGATTAGGGATGGACACTGGACAGCAACATTTATTATTAATTTTAAACATTTAAGAAGCTTATTCAGAACTTGGTTTATGTTTATCATAAAGGAACTCATAAAATGGACTGACCTGGCTGGACAAGGATCCAGGTTGCACTCCTGAAGCTTGGGCTTGGGTTTGATGTTCTCTGGGTAATAGTGGCAGTACTGATCAGCAACCACACGGTTGCTCCGGAGGTCATAACACTCTGCCGACGTCAGCTGATAACCTGCAATGCCAAACCATCCAGGAAAGTTCAAATGCACAGGCAAATCCAATAGATTTCTTTCTGCCTTTTTACTACTTTACATCAATGCAATTCCTTCCCCAATGCTGCATTCATTTCCAGGACACAGACAAATGAAGGGTTGCTCATGTTTGCAGGCCTTAAATTCTGTGCTTTTCACTAGTAACCCACTCAAATTTTTAGTAAATTATAACATAGGGATTGCACTATGGAAAGGCATAGATAGACTGTAACACATTGTGGTAAAGCTATCCTTATTTATTTAAGCATATCTAAAAATCTAAATGAGGATTCTGTTTCCACAAAATGATCAATATTATTTACTAATCAACCATTTCATGCAAAGATACCAATTTGTTTCCCTTGTACCTGGGGTACCAGGGAGAATTAACTCCCAAAATAACAAACTCAAAGAGTTCTACCCTTTGCCAATAGGGGACAATGACATACATCACAGAATCGGGTCTTGTCAGCTGCTTGGGAACATTATTTTTGTTTAAATCCAAGCTGAATGGATTAGGCTGAGTAAATGGATGATAAAGATCTCAATAGTAGCCACTGCTAATTCCATATTTCCCCAAACTGAGGGGCGGGGGGGGGGGGGAAGAAGGGGAAAGATCCTACTAGTCAGTTTTTGTTTCACCCAAAATCTCTTTTCAACTTTAAGTCTCCAGACAATTTTCCTCATCTCCATGCACAAAATTCTATTGCTTAGAAAATTCTCTTAAAAAAATTAGTGCTGTTGAGTTAATTCCACACATACTGTTTTACTGTTCCTACCTGTTTCTTGTTCTGTGGACTTTAGGGGTGATAGTGATGAGGACTTATAGTCTTGGGGTATAAAGTAAATATATATACAGAATTTCCTAAAAACTAAGCTTTTGGTATCTTTTTAACCCAAGCCAACCTCCAAAATATATCATCCGTGGCAGGTGGTTGAATATTATTATTACTAAGTATAGGTTAGAAAATCAAAATCTTGCAAAAGATTTTAGGAAATCGAAGGAGGCATATAAACTAGATTTCCTGGCTCAAGGCTATTTTCTCAGACCACCCACAAAAATTAATTGTTCATTAAAGACCAAGAAAAGAGCTTTTAACAATTTTACTGTAAGATGAAAAGCATGGAAAGTACTGTGTAAGAACATGTGCTCCATTTAATTTTTTGTCTTATTAGAAAATCAGAGTAAAATGTTATTTTATATAAATAAATATGCTTTCATTTTTTCAATTGTATTATACTCTGCAACAGATAATAATTGTATGATGAATTAATAATTTTAAAACTTTCCATATAACAATTTATAATTGTTTATAATTTAGTAAATGTGGCATAATGAATAAATTATAAAGCTAAGGCAATGATTTAGATAAACCATAATTTATCAACTTAAAAGGTTGCTTTGATGTTATTCTGGAATCTGTGAATGCAACAAAAATGGAATAAGTGACTGAATTGGTCAGATAATTGTCTCTAAATTCTTTTTTGAAAATAGTTGTTGAGTTAATATTGTTTTATAAAGTTGTTCCCTACCCCTTACCCCACCTTAACATTTCAAAAATCATTGGGAGTAGTAATTCTTTACCCTTAGCCAAATGGTCAACCAGTTGACTCTAGAAGCAAAAACTAAAAGGGAACTTAACTCATTCCTTCAGTCATTTTCAAACTGTGATACATGAAGGCTGCTTCCCAGATCACTCACATCTCTACCAAGCAGCATTCCTTTTATCTCCTTTGATCTGCTTTCTAGTAGTATTTCCTCTGCATACTTGATATTTGAGAACTCAACGTACCTGAAAACTACTGATGGTTCTACATTTTTATTTAGATGTGAGGAAAACCCAAAGAAGTTGTAATATATATATATGAATCTACCACTAGTTGCCTTATAATATAGCAGAGTGTCGTCAGATTACTGAAATTACACCCCAGAAGCAGGTATATGTGAAACTGACATAGTGGGCATATTACTGATTGGCTACCTCTTGCAAAGAATAGTTTTCTTTTAAAAAGAAAGGAAGGCAAGATTCCTTTCTTTGAAACTGGTTCCTGTGCTAAGTCATGAACATATATATAAAACAAAAAATGTTCGCAAAAAAAGTCAAAGTGAATGGAAGTTCATTTTTTAAAAATATAATTTTCCGTTCAGGGTATGTACAGAAACTACAAACACTATTTTACTGAAATGCTTATAATGTATTACTAGTTATTTAACACCAAGTAAATGACTTGATGACATTTTTGACTGCCTTCAAGCTGAAATCAAATATTGCTCTGTAAAACCATTTTTGATGATTTGTTCCCATTCTTTTGACACAGATCACTCTTCTAACAGGTTCTTATGTTTTACAGAAATCAATGGATAATCACTTATCTTTATTTTGAGCCACCATTCTTCTTTTTTCTAGTCAAAATAATTTGTTGCTACTTATGTGGATCAGCTACTAACAGGTTAAGTCATCCAACTAACAGGTTTCCATGAAGTTAGAGCTAGTATCTAGTATTTATTTGATGTACTAGTTCTTAAAGGAATGTACATCCAAGTTTATATCTGTTAAATTTGCAAAATCAAAAAATGATAATCCACAAATACTGACTTAGTTGGAAATAAAAATAAAATATTCATATACTACTTGTTATCCTTCTGGAAAGAATTTTGATAATGTATGCCAAGAGCCACACAAATTCTAAAACTCACTGTTAAAAATTTATTCCAAGGAAATAATTTGAAAGGAGAAAAATTCTTAGGTATTAAGTTATCCATTACATTATAATTAAAAAGTCTAAATGAACTAAATGTTTTCTATAAGGATATGGCTAAATAAATTCTTGTGAAATAATTTGAAGGCAAATAATGTAACTATTAAACTTATGAAGAGCAGAAAATTGGTGGTGGGAGGGAGGCTATTCCAGTAATACTAAATGCTATGTACATATAGATGTGATGGAGCAGAGAGAGTAAATCATTTGGTGAGAAAAATTTTAATGAACAAAGTGGCAGGTGGAATTCCTTTAAATGCATGGATGATGAGATATAGTCAAAAAAGTAACTGAACCTAAAACTATGTTTTTTTTTCCCTGATAATAAACTATTTCCTTTTAGTAAGTTGATCTCTGATACTTTTTGGACCCTGGATTTCTGATAAATAAGTTCAGTTTCAACCACATGTGTACCTTTTTCTCAAATGGGTGGAATTACCTTGAAACACCATGCTATGCTATTTTCATCCTTGCTTTCTATAGCATCAGGGAAAGAAGTCATAGACACCTTTCCCTAATAGGACTGTACAAAAAGAACATTTCCATGGTGGATATAAACTGTAGTAGATATCTAGCCTTCCAAGAGGGCTTCAGAACTTGGCCCCCATCAGAAGAAAGGCTAGATCAATCACAGCACTCAATTTCTTCCATTCAGAAGTGACTCCTAACAGCCATGTCTTCTGTTGCAGAAACCAACAGTACCTAGGCTAAGTGAACAGCATTACCTCCTCCACAGGTTGCTGAGCAAGGAAAGAAATCCGTCTCCCGCCATCGGTGAATGATAGGCTGATAGAAGATAAACTGGACTGTACTGTCAGCGGGTTCCAAGTTGTGGATCTGCAGGAGATACAGCAGAGCAGAGAAACTAGTGTGGCAGAGCAGTGCTTTCTGAGGCTCTTGCAACTTTCAACAAGGATAGAAGGTACTACTGTGGTCCTAGGCTGTTAGAGGGACTGACCTGGGGGAGAAGTGGAAGTGGTCATATCACCTCTTTTTATCAATGGTCCCTGCAAATTCTATTATCATCAACTTCTCAATTCTGTTTCCACAGAACAAGAGATAGCAATGTTGCAACTTTTGATTTCAGTAGGCTGTGAGCCCAAGTCACATATTATAGTACCTCTTCCTCCTTAGGTGCAAGTATGTGGATTTAAAAACAAAGGTTCAGAAATGGACAATTTGTTCTAAGAAAAGGATAAATCCTTAAGAAAAAAGAAAAAATGCTGGTTTTGATTAAGGAAAAAGAAAGAGTTAAAGAATTAAGTAGCTCTTCCCACTCAGACATACATGAAGTTTCCTGGTAATTTAGTGATTCATATATTTTAATGTGAAAAGTTACCAAGTGGAAGTTTGCTAAAATGCAAATTCCTGGGCGTATGTCCAAAGATCCAGGCAATTCGGTTTCAAATCCAGGCATTCATATGGTCCAAGAACCAAACTTTGAAGCATACCAATTTATATTATAAAAGCAATTACTTCAAATAAAACATGTGCTTATGGAAATTATAAGTCCTTTGCTTTTTTAAAAGAGTAGATGTGAAACAGTAATTCTTTAATGGTTTTTAAAAGTACAAGGTTGAGAAAACATACTCAATTTTAAAGAGAAGGGAAAAGTACCTAACAGAAACAGTGCCTTTCTATTGAATGATAGGACCCCCCAAAATGTTCAGGTAGGTAACCCAAGATGTCCAGAACAGGCTTTCTAAGACATGTAGGTCATTTTGAGTTGAGGTTGGTGTAGGTTCTTTGGCTTCCAAGAAAAACTATTAGCTCTCCCTTAAATGTCTAGAAGAATGAAAATTAGGGGTCTGTTACCCATATTTAGAGTTATCTCCAATAATAAGCTGTCTGTTATACAAAAGAAGCCTGTCTATGGCAGGACAAACATCCTGGTGCAGAGCATACTTTGTTTGTTTTGTCTTGAGTCCACCTTGTCTCTCATTGATTCCCTACACCTCTATGCTACTCATTTGCTCATGATGAAAATGTTTGGTTTGTTCTATGTTTTCTAGAATTTGCAACTATGCAGATTCTCCAAATGTAGCTAATTAAATTTCTTTTTTCCTATGAATCTATGTTAATTTGTTCACTTGGTGAAGATGAAAGAACTCAGAGGGTAGAGGGAAATTTCTTCTTCATCCCTTCCATCTCGTGAATGACAAACCAAGCAACAGTTAACATGGGTAGGAAAGGCTTGGGTTACTTACTACACTAGTACGTTGCATGGATGCTGAGAAGACCACCTCTTATTCCAACTGTGGGAGAGGCAGCAGTCAGTGCCATCATGTGGCTTGCTTTTTACTAATGTTTTCAGGCCTTCACTGTCCAAGTGTACTTTATCAAGGATAAATTGATGGATATGACCTTCAGATTTTTTTTTTAAGATTTATTTATTTGTGCATACAGAACTGGGGTACAGGCCAGAGGCTCAGGGGCAGTGAGAGGCTTCACCAGAGACAGAGCAGGGAGCAGAACAGGCAGATCTACGAAGTACACTGCTGAGGGGAGCAGCGGGCGGGCCAGGAGAGGTCTGCCACGCCATGTAGATCTCCGGGGAAGGCGGGATTCAAACTCATGGGGAAGTGGCTTTAGCTTCTCAGTACAGTGCTTTAACCTGCTGTGCCACCAGGGAGGGCCTGACCTTCAGTTTTTAAAGAGATTTTTCTGCCATCGAATTTAAGGACTAGATTAAATATACGGGGTACAGAAGAAAATAGGAACAATGAAGGAACAGAGACTAGGTAGCTAGTTTGTGCAGTTTATGAGAATGTGAAAATGTTGCACAGAAAGTCTAGAAGAGCTGGGAGGGAGAAGGAGTTCAGAAAAGCCACAGAATATCTCCTGGATTGTTGCAAGTTTAACCCATGAAGCATCCAGGTCTTTCTTAGGAATAGTGACACGATTCTCTACTTTAAAGTAAAAACAGTTGAAGTAAAACAGTGTCTTTCACAAAAGGGGAACATGAAATACAGATTATTATTTTTTTTACTCTTATGTGTTAGATATAGGATATATAATTGCTTGCTTAGGGATGTTGTATTAATCACACTCTTTGAAAAAACTTTTAAAAAAGATTTATTTATGCATACAGATCTGGGGTGCAGGCCAGAGGTGTGGGGGTGGTGAGAGGCTTCACCCAAGATGGAATGGGGAGTAGAACAGGCAGATTGACAAATAACACTGCTGAGGGGAGCAGCAGGCGGGTCAGGAGAGGTCTGCTGCACCATGTGGGTCACCTTGGGGGCTGGGATCGAACTCATGCTGAATTGGCATTAGCTTTTAGCAGTGTGCTTTAACCTGCTGCGCCACGAGGGAGGATCCCTAAAACTTTTTTTTTTAAGTTCACAAAGTCTGAGCTCCCTTGGGATGTGTGGATACCATGCTGGAAAGCCATTAGAAGAGGACTTGCATTTGAACACATAATCCATGAGCAAATAAAAAGAAGAGGGTAACTAGAAATAGGTTGGTTTGGGGGTTTCTTTTTAAGATGGTAGAAATGGAGTCCTAAGAAAGTCAACAGAAAATCAAAATGAGATAGAATACCCAAACAGAGAAAGCTTGTTCTAGAGTACCTCCTCAGTGTCTGGGTTTATCTTTCAGTCTGATTAAAGAGGCAAAAAGCTGGAGTAGGTCCTTTTTAAAAGCTCTCTGACAGTTAACAAGTGAAGCACCTCATGACAAAAGTTTTGATATTAACTGGGAGAGCATGTAAGTACCATATTGAAGGAAAGAAAACAAAAAAGCTTAGAAAGTAGATTCAATGATATGAATACTGAGACCACACATAGATTTGACAAGAGACTCGAAACAGAGGTATTATTATTATTATTCCAGGTACCTAAAGCCTGGCAGAGCAGGAGGGATCTAGATCTTTGATCACCTAATTTCCACATTAACATTCCTGCTTCTTTCTCCTTTCTCTATAGTTACTCCCCTGTTGTAGTCACAGCAATGGCTACCACCATTCCTATTATTTACAAGGTACATTTACTTATGTTAACCCAAATTCCACTACTATTATTCCACATGTACATAACAATGGGAACAATGAGGCTCAGAGAGGTTAAGTGATTTGCTCAAGCCTACCCAGCTAGGCAATTGCAGAGCAAGGAGTTGAATTTAGGTCTGCTTAATTCTAAAGTTGCCATTCTTTTTATGATTTTCCCACTAGTATTGTAAAGATATGGAGATTTATCTGCAACAGTATAACTGTAACTGGCTTCTCAGTATCTTTTTTTTTTTTTTAAAAAAAGATTTATTTATTTACGCATATAGAACTAGGGTACAGGCCAGAAGTGCAGGGGCAGTGAGAGGATTCACCAGAGACAGAGTGGGGAGCAGAACAGGTGGACTAACGAAGTACACTGCTCAAGGGAGCAGCGCGTGGGTCAGGAGAGGTCTGCCACGCCATGTGGATCACCCTCTGGGGTGGGGGTGGAACTCAGGCTGTAATGGCTTTAGCTTCTTCGTGCTTTAACCTGCTGTGCCACCAGGGAGGGCCCTGGCTTCCCAGTATCTTTTAAATTAATTTTAAAGTCAAAAACAATGTTCAAAACAAAAAAGAAGCTAACCTGATGCCTAGTTGTAATAGCTTATTTCTTACTTTAAATTGATTTTCAGATGTGTAATACAATATTATTAATTGTAGTCATCATACTGTGTCATACCTTTCCATGACATTTATAAACCAGGGACTTATGCTTTTTGACCTCCTTTTAACCCATTTTGCCTGCCCCTCATCTGTGACAATACCAACCTATTCTCTGTATCTAGGAGATTGGTTTCTCTTTTTTGGTTTTTAGATTCCACATATGAGATCATACAGTATTTGTATTTCCCTTTCTGACTTATCTCACTTAGCTTAATGTCCTCCAAGTCAGTACATGCCATTGCAAATAGCAACATTATCAGTGGCCTAATTGCTGCTTACAGAGATCAGCTGCCATGTTCCTTTTTTCTGGTTTGAAGCATGCCAGCCTGCTCAAGCCTTCATTATCACTAGCTTTGAAGCTTCATAAACCCTAAATCCTCAAGCATTAGGTTCTAGTTTTTTATTTTTTTTTTTAAAGATTTATTTATTTGTGCATACAGAACTGGGGTACAGGCCAGAGGCTCGGGGCGGTGAGAGGCTTCACCAGAGACAGAGTGGGGAGCAGAACAGGCAGATCGACGAAGTACACTGCTGAGGGGAGCAGCGGGCGGGTCAGGAGAGGTCTGCCACACCATGTGGTCACCTCCGGGGCAGGCGGGAATCGAACTCATGCGGAAGTGGCTTTTAGCTTCTCAGTGCAGTGCTTTAACCCGCTGCGCCACCAGGGAGGGCCTCTAGTTTTTTATTTTTAAAGATTTATTTATGCATATAGAACTGGGGTACAGGCCAGAGGTGCAGGGGCGGTGAGAGGATTCACCAGAGACAGAGTGGGGAGCAGAACAGGCCAACTGATGAAGTATAGTGCTGAGGGGAGCAGCAGATGGGTCAGGAGAGGTCTGCCTTGTCATGTGGGTCATCACAGGGGCGGAGATCAAACTCATATTGAAGTGGCTTTAGCTTCTCAGTGCTGTGTTTTTAAGCTACTGCGCTACCAGGGAGGGCCCAGGTTCTAGTTCTCAAGAGTATGTCGAAAACTTCAGTTTGATACTTTTGGATTTTATTCTAGCGAGCTAAACGTAACTGATGTAAGTAATTTTGATTTAATAAAGAATATTCTGAACCAAGGTTTTCTTCCTGTAATAACAGTAGTTCACTGCTTCTAATTTAATATAATACCTTTCACACTGAAAGTAAAGGAGAAGACAAAAACATATCTTTTCCCACTGTCATTGAATATACTCCATGA